CTTCAAACTCATAGGCAAGCCGTGTTTGCAGAATCTGTTTCTCCACAAAATCATCACCCGTGATAATAATATCATCAACATATACAAGGACCACAGTAAGCTTCCCATTATGGGAGTGCTTGAAGAAAAGAGTATGATCTCCTTGACTCTGTCTGTATCCTAAGGTCATCATAACCTTAGTAAACTTTCCAAACCAGGCACGACGTGATTGCTTCAATCCATACAAGGCCTTTTTTAATCTACAAACTTTATTTTCTCCCTTCACAAAATCAAAACCAGGCAGGATTTACATGTAGACTTCTTCTTCTAACTCACCATTGAGGAAAACATTTTTCACATCAAATTGATTTATATCCCACTTGTAATGGGCTGCAAGGGATAACAAGACTCTCACCGTATTCATCTTTGCAACTGGAGCAAATGTTTCTTCATAATCAATGCCATAGGTTTGAGTGTAACCTTTGGCAACTAATCGAGCCTTGTATCTCTCAAGAGTTCCATCAGAATTATATTTCAGGGCATAAACCCATCTGCACCCTACTGCTTTCTTTCCATTAGGCCTATCAATAACCTTCCATGTTTTATTTTTCTCCAACGCATTCATTTCCTCTTGCATGGGTTGAGCCCAATTCCTATCTTTCAAGGCTTCATGTACTGATTTTGGGATTGCAATAGAGTCTAGTGCTGAAACAAAGCTTTTGAGCTGCACAGAAAGATTAGCAGAGGAAACAAAATGGGAGATAGGGTATTGAGTACAAGAGGGACAGGAGGGACAAGATTTCTTGGGACAAGCTCTTTTTCCTTTTCTAAGAGCAATGGGTAAATCATCAGAATCAGTAGTAATGGGTAAGTCATCTGAAGTATTAACATCATGATCAGAAATATGAGATTCAGGACTTACCAGTGGTTCAGACGATTGAGGTTGCTGCTGAGACAATGTGGGTTGTTTCCTTCTTTCAGGTGTCATAATCTTCCAATTGAGGTTACATGTATATTTATTATTATTAGTATTTGTTGTATTGGGCCAAGCCCATTAGGTCAAGTATTAGGGTTTTCATTCTCTATAAATAGAGACATCTTTGTAAAGATTATTTACACAATTCAATAATATTTCAAATACCTTTTTCTTTCAAGTCAATATTTAACATAAAATTTTTAAATATACGCATAAACAATTAAAATAATATACATGTATTTTTTAAAACAATATTTAACATAAAAATTTTAAATATACATGTATAACCAATTACAAAAATATATAAAAATCATAAATTAAAATAGAAAAAAAATTATATAAAAAAATATGCATAATTAATATAAAAAGTTTTAAATTTTAAATTTAAATAAAAAATGACGTCTGTCATTTTATTAAAAAAATTATTAAATTTAAGAACTATAAAAATGAAAATTTTAATTTAGTACATAAGAAAGAAATTAAACTTTCGTTTTTTTATTGCAAGAGTGTAATTAACACAAATACTTGCAAAAAATAAACATTTGTATAAAATACTGATAGTTAGAGGTGAAAACTGGGCTCGGCCCGGAGGGCCGGCCCGCCAATATGTTTTTATAATTCAATTGAAATTTTATTTTTCTTCTTTTATAATTAAATTACTAAATCTGATTTCAATTTTTGTAAATACAAATTTGTGAAATTCTAAAGACTAACGACACTAATCCTTGCAAAAAATATTATTTATATAAAATTCTGAAAGTTAGAGTGGAAAACTGGGCTCGGCCCGGAGGGCCGGCCCGCTAATATATTTTTATAATTCAACTGAAATTTTATCCTTCTTCTTTTATAATTAAATTACTAAATCTTATTTCAATTTTTGTAAATATAAATTTGTGAAATTCCAAAGACTAACGCCACAAATCCCTGCAAAAAAAAGTTATTTATTATTATTTTATAAATCTGATGGTAGTAAATGAAAGTTCATTTCCGAGATAAAATATAAAAACCTAGACGCAACTATAAAAAATCTTTTTTTGTGGATAAATATAAAAACCTTTTACGTGATGATCGTTAGAGGTGGCAAACTGGACTCGGCCAGGAGGGCCGACCCACAAACACATTTTTATAATTAAATTAAAATTTCATCATTTTTCTTTTATAATTAAATTCCTAAATCTGATTTTAATCCTTGCAAATAATAATTATTTTTTATTAGTTTTTAAATGTTATTGCAATAAATGAAAGTCTATCTCAAAGATTATTGTAGTTGTATGCAAAATTAATTATCCCTCTGAATAGCAGATTTTTGTCTGTAGTTGATATTTGCAAAGTTTTGTGTCAATGCTGTAATTTTTTTCACCTGAAATATAGAACAAAATAACAACACAATTTTTTGTGAGTAAAAGGTTTGCAGTGTGATTAACCAACCACGACAAACGACAAAAAATTTGATCTTTTTTCCCGTGCATCGCACGGGTAATATACTAGTACTTCTAAATTCTGATCTGTCATTACATGTAAATCAATTCCTCCTCTTTGCATTCTCTTTTTGCAATTTCCATTATTAGGTCACAAAATAAGATATAAGTTTACATCTTTTGTAAAATTCAATTTCATATTTTATCCCATCCCCCTGGTGCATATAATAAGATGTGAAATAGTTGCTCTTTTTAGCCCATAAAACAGCATTACTTGTTATATGAAGGGATTAATGGTCATTTGCACTAGCCATTGATACTATGAGAGATTTTTAACTGTTTGGGGATTAAAATAAATTTATCGCTATGTAGCATGATCCAACGTACGGAAATAAAGAGTGGTTTAAAAAAAATTTCAAAAATTATAAGCATATATAAGAAGGGAAAAGTATTTCTCCAGTCATCGGAGATAAAATTATCTACAGTGAGCTCAAAACGATGTCGTTTTGGGTTATAACATTTAAAAATTATAATGATAAAGACTAATATATGTTGGATATATGCTCTTTTAGTCACTAAAGTCCTATTGGGCTTCAGTGACACTTGAGCCCATGAGGCTTAGGGTTGAGTTATGTCTAAGACCTAAGGTATATATTCATGGTTTTCTCCTCTTATGCCTCCAAGGTGAACAGATCATCAGAAACAAACCCAAGAGGCAGACATTCATCATCTGAACGGTTGCCCACACAACCATCTCATCCTCCTCGAGAGATAGTCTGGAAGATCGATCATAGAGGGAACAACTATTGTTCGTGGCCACACAACTACGCCCTTCCAGGTAATCAAAACGATGAAGGTTAATCTTTTCCCTCGTCGTGTCGATTCGATGCGCTTCCGCGTTTCTAATGATATACCTACAATTGGTATCAGAGCCGGATAGCGATGAGGAAAAGAACCAGTTTTGAAATAAATTCATGTGATTGTTTTTGAAAATTATTTTTTGAAAATATGGCATCTTTTTCTATATTTGTTATTTATTTCATGGTGATCGTTCGTTTATAATTCTTATTCGATATTGCTTTTAATTTTAATCGGTTAATCGCTTTAATCCATGGTTAGATTCTCTCATGTATTTCTTGATTTGTAACAAGGAACCTAATCCCATATGATTAGGTTTCCTCCTTGCTGTTTTTGTTTTTTTTGGAATTTCTATGTATTTTTCGAATTTCTGTAAAAATTGGAGATCAAGAAATTGCGAAGAACATGTGGATTCAACACTGTCCGAGACTTTTCGTGGACCTCTGGACCTTGGAATTGGACGATCCATATATGGTTGGAAAGAGGACGGAAAGACGATCAAAATGACGGGTGGATCGCCGCCGTTAGAGCCTCCATGCGCCGCCACACGCCACCTCAAGTGGCTGAGAGTGGGCTTCACTCTTCGGGAGAGATACGGCGCGTGGGGGCGCGTGCCACACCCTTTTTGGGTGGTTCTGGCGGCCGTGTTCTCGTCTCCCTGTGGCGGTCCTTCCCCTGGATTTTCGTGTTGAGATGACTTCGGCTGACGGCGCGGCAAAACAGTTGGCTAGGGTTCCTTTTTTGTCTCCTAGGGTTTCTAGCAAAGGATTGGGTCTTTGGGCTTGTGGGCCCATAGATACCCTAAAGGGGCTTGAGACAGGTACTAGGGGCTGGACGGAAAAGGAATTTCAAAGTTGTAATTTTATTTATTGATTGATTATTATAGAAAGCCATGGATTAAAGTTATTTATTTATTATTTAATGCTTTAATTGAATGGTATGAATTATATGTGCGATGAAATAACATGTCATATAGAATAGGAAGATGCCATATTGTTGCATGATCACATGTCATTACTGCATAGTAGCTATTATGTCTTGAATCGACTAGTATGATAGTTAGTATGCGTGATTATTTAGGTTGTCCATTGGATTAATTAATTATGGATTTAAAATCTAGATAAATAATCCAGTTAATTTCCTAAGAGAAAATTGTTTTTTGAGAAAATAAATTTTTGTGGGTTTTCTGAAATGGTCATGGAGTAACACGTGTTGACGCAAAGTGACCGGATTTCTGAAATCAAACAAATTTTTTTTTTTGAATTAAGCATTTCTTGGAAATTAAAAATTCTAATTTTTAAAATATTGAATGGGTGAAGGTTTTAAATTAAATATTTAATTATAAAACCTACGGGCTCCAATTGTGGGTTTATTAGTGAAATGATTATCGCTGAAGCCCCATCGGATAAGGATAATCGGATTTCGCTAGATTAAACCTTAATATCTTCAAAATTTTGGTAAAGTTTTGTACGGCCCATCGTCGGCAACACTTAGATACTAAAGATAATTTTGATAATAAACAATGGTTAAATACATTCAACTTTAATAAAATTGTTATCCCTCCCATCGAGGCTCTGGCAATGGAACTGAAGGCCCTAAATAACAATATTAGTTTTACAAGTATCTTGCCCATCGTAAGCCTTGTAAAGATAGCTAATGGATTGTTAAACAATAAACGAATAGTAGTTATTAGAATCTACTAGCGCTATATCTGTTTGTTGTTTTTTTTCGAGTTTGTAAATAATGTGTGTAATTTTATTTTCAGAAAAATGTCTTCATTCAATCCTTTAGCTACTATTTTGAGTCAAAAACCAATGGATGGTACAAACTACAAACAATGGAAAACAAATCTGGATATTGATCTTCAATATGTAAAGCTCAATTTTGTTCTGACCACCCCTATACCGGCGCAGCCTGCTGAAGATGCGCCTGAGGCAACAAAGGCCCAATTTCAGCAGGAGAAGGAGAAATGGGAGAAGGCAAATGTGGCAGTTCGCTGTTACATTTTAGCCAGTCTTGCCAATCACCTTCAGGAGCAGGTAAACATGGTTGAGAGTGGAGCAGCTATGCTCCAGACTCTTGATGGCATGTTTGCTACATCCAGCAGCTCTGCTAGGTAGATTGCGCTGAATGCTGTCACTAAGACAGTAATGTCTGGAGGAAGTGTGCAGGATCATTGTTTGTCAATGATTGCAAACTTCAAGAAGGCTGAGGATCATGGGGTCAAGTTTGAACAAGAAGTAAAAGTTGACCTTCTCTTGCAATCATTGCCTGAATACTTCACTCAATTCAAGATGAATTATAATATGAATAAGATGAATCTTAATCTTACTCAACTGATGCACGAGCTTGAGAGTGCTGAACAGTCTCTAGTCAAGCAGGGCAGTGCATTTTATGCTGGTGAAAGTTCTGTGAAACCTAAGGGGAAACCCAAGGGCAAGAACAAGAACAAGAAAAAGAAGAAATCTGGTATTCCAGTTGCCAAACCAGTTGCAATGAAGCAACCGAAAGGTAAGTGCTTCAAGTGCAGACAAAAGGGGCATTGGAAGAAAAATTGCCCACGCATGAATCAGCCAGGTATGGGTAATTTACATGTGATTGAGGCTGGTTTAGTGGAGAATTACAATGATAAATGGATCATTGATTCAGGAGCCACTAACCATGTTTGTTACTCTTTGCAGTGGTTCAAACATAGCTTGCCTTTAAGCGAAGGACAAAGAGTTTTGAAGCTTGGAAATGGGGAGCTTGTGTCTGCACTGGCAGTGGGACAAGTTATTTTATCTTTTAATAATTGCAGAACTTTGGTTTTAGAAGACTGTTTATTTATTCTGGATTTTAAGAGGAATTTAATTTCTGTTAGTTGTTTGATTAAACATGGTTTATCAGTTCAGTTTAATTCCTCAGTTTCAATAAGGAGTTCGTCTTCTTTTATTTGTTCTGGCGTAATGTTTAATGGTCTTTATTTCCTTAGTCTTGTACCCTGTGAAGTTTATCATGTTGAATTAAGACATGTTGAGGATATCAACTCATCAAAGAAAAGAAAAGTTTCCAATGAAACTTATCTTTGGCATTTGAGGTTGGGTCACATTAACTCAAACAGGATACACGGTTTGGTTGAAAGTGGGATCTTAAAATCCCTGAACTTTGAACTAATACCAGTATGTGAATCTTGTTTATAGGGTAAGATGACTAAGAGATCTTTCAAGGCCAAGGGAAATCGTGCCACACATCAGCTGGAATTGGTGCATACTGATGTATGTGGACCAATAAATGTCCAGGCCAGAGGCGGGTATCAGTATTTCATCACATTCACTGATGATTACTCTAGATTTGGACATGTGTACCTGATGCGTCATAAGTCTGAAGCTTTTGGAAAATTCCAAGAGTTCAAGGCTGAGGCAGAAAAACATCTTGGTGTTCAAATTAAGACTCTTCGGTCTGATCGAGGGGGTGAATACCTATCTGGAGAGTTCAGGTCTTACCTGACCCAAGAGGGGATAGTTTCACAATTATCTTCTCCAGGGACACCCCAGCAGAATGGAGTCGCTGAAAGGAGAAATAGAACCCTTTTAGAGATGGCAAGATCGATGCTCAGTTATTCACCTTTTCCTGATTCATTCTGGGGATATGCCTTAGAAACTGCTATGTACCTTTTGAACTTGGCTCCATCAAAATATGTTCTAAAGACTCCAATAGAATTATGGAAAGGGTGTAAGCCCAGCTTGAACCATATTCGGATTTGGGGTGCTCCGACACATGTCTTACAACAGAAGCCAAATAAGATAGACTCTCGTACAAAAGTGTGCATGTTTATAGGCTATCCTAAAGGAACCAGAGGCTGGTTATTTTATAGTCCGAAAGAAAAGAAGGTTTTAGTGAGTACACATGCGACTTTCTTAGAGGAGGACTATATGGAAAATCACAAGCCGAGGAGTACGGTTATACTTGATGAGCTAGACTCGGATCAAGTTTCGCCTCAACCTCAAGGGGTTCCAGCTTTTCTTCCTGTATTTGTTCAAAGAGGGGAAAATATGCCTGTAGTTGAACATACGCAGGAAGCAGAGACAGAACCAGAAGTTCAGCATGGTAATCAACAAGTGGAGTTACCACTTGTAGAAGAACAAAATCATGAAATGGTTTATCCAGAAATAAATGAGGGTCCTCCTCAAATTGTTAACCCACCAGACTTGAATCATCCTGTAGATGCTCAGCAACAAGTGCAGCACAGTCGTAGTGGGAGATTGATTCGTAAACCAGCAAGATATCTCTTGTTAGGTGAATCGAGTCAGGATGTCATCATTGAGAATGATGATGATCCCACTAGTTATGACAAGGCACTAGAAGATGTTGATGCTCAGGAATGGCTTGAGGCTATGAGTCGTGAAATGGATTCTATGTATTCTAACTCAGTTTGGTCTCTTGTAGATGCACCAAAAGGGGTAAAACCCATTGGGTGTAAGTGGATTTACAAGAGAAAGAGAGGATCAGACGGAAAGGTTGAAACCTTCAAAGCTAGATTGGTGGCGAAAGGGTACACCCAAATAGAAGGTGTGGATTATGAAACCTTTTCGCTGGTTGCCATGCTCAAGTCTATCCGGATTCTCTTATCTGTTGCAGCAAATCTTGATTATGAGATTTGGCAAA